CATTTTTGATTTGTTGTAGAGATGAGGTCTTGCCAAGTTGCCCAGGTGGGTCTCGAACCCTTGGGCTCAGGCAATCCACTCACCTCAGCCTCTCAAAGTGCTGGGATTTCAGGCTGAGCCACTGAGCCCAGCTTCAGATTCTTAAAGGTTTAAAGACTATCAGTTCTGTAGTAACACTGATTAGTGTTACTAGATTACTTTTTTTTTTTTTTTTTTTTTTTGAGTGGGAGTCTTTCTGTCGCCCAGTCTGGAGTGCAGTGACACACTCATGGTCACTGTAGCCTCGACCTGCTGGTCTCAGGGGATGTTTCTGCCTCAGCCTTCCAAGTAGCTGAAGCTACAGGTGTCACCACTATACCCGGCTAATTTTTTGAATTTATTTATTGTAGAGATGAGGTCTCACCAAGTTGCCCTGGCGGGTCTCAAACCCATGGGCTCAGGCAGTCCTCTCTCCTCGGCCTCCCAAAGTGCTGGGATTACAGGCTGAGCCACCAAGCCCGGCCAGGAATTCTTTTTTTAAAGTACACAGATCTTTTTCTCTTTGATTTCAAATACTTTTAGAAATTAAAGTTTTAGGAAAAGTCATGTTCCTAGGATTTTTTTTTTTTTTTGAGTTGGTGCCCAAGCAGGTCTCAAACCCGCGGGCTCAGGCAGTCCACTCACCTCAGCCTCCCAAAGGCGCGGTATTACAGGCTGAGCCACCGAGCCCGGCTAGGAATTTAATATTATTTTAATACAGTCTAACTTATTGAAGGCAGTTAATGTGTGGAGTGTTCCTGACTTTGACCAGAGGACACAGGAGGGAACTTCTGTTACTGGAAAAGGGTACTGAGAAAAGACATTTTTTGTTTTGTTTTCTTTTTTCTTTTCATCTTCTTCTCTGGGTCCCTTTTCCACTCTCTTTCTCCCATGTAGAGCATTAAAAATAGAATCATCAAAATAAATAGGCAACACTTGGTTCTGTTTGGTAATGTGGTACTTTATTAGGGTCAAAAGCCCTGACCTTATGTTTATTTCCTTGAAGTGAGGCAAGTACTGTTTAAATTAGATATGGCAGCATAAGATTCTACTGCAAACTGAATTCAGATCTCTGCTTTATGATGGTGAGCCCCAGGCAGTAGTTAGAGTGTTCTGTGTTGTGATCCAGGGAGTGTGCTTGTTAGCCCTGGGTCTTGTTTTGCCTGCTCTTGCATTGTCACCAGGCAAAGAAAGGAAACGCTGGGACCTGTAAGTGGGGGCTGTGCTCTTTGATACTCTTCTTCTGATGTTCAGGAAAAATACATACCACTCAGACAATTTCATGTTGGTTATGAAAAGGACATCTGCATCTTCAACAGAAAAATTTATTGAGAAAAGTGTGAGAAGAACAATGGAATGGAAAGGAAAAGATCTGCACCCCTTTGTTCTGACAAAGCCTTGTTCAGAGTGAGGCAGCAAACTCTCATGGACAGCTGTCTGTTTTGCTGTTCTCGGAATGGTTCCACAGAAGCGTCTATTCTGGATCAGGAATTCTTTCTTGAATACTTTTTATTGCTTTATAAGTGTCTATTTCTTTGGGAAATATAAAGCTCTTCCTGCTCCCACCAATCTCTCCTCTTACTTTTCAGATCAGTTCTGATTCCTCTTTGCTCACCTCATTCAGTAAAGAGAAATGACAAAAGAGAGATGAATTTCCTTGCCTTGCGAGACAGCTTATTTTTGTGTCTTTATATACAACTATTGTTTCTAAGCCAAAAATCACCATAAAAGAAAATTTAAGAGATATAGGTAGAGTAATTGAAAGTGTGATTTTTTTTTTTGACTTGGAGTCTCACTCTGTCGCCCAGGCTAGAGTGCAGTGGCATGCTCACAACCACCACAGCCTCAACCTGCTGGGCTCGGGCGATCCTTCCACCTCAGCCTTCCAAATAGAAGGAACTACACCATGCCTGGCTAATTTTTTGGTTTGTTGTAGAGATGAGGTCTTGTCAAGTTGCCCAGGCTGGTCTTGAACTGCTGAGCTCAGGCAGTCCTCTCACTTCTACCTCCCAAAGTACTGGGATTTTAGGCATGAGCCACCATGCCTGGCTGAAAGTGTGATTTTAATTATACTGCTCAGAGATGTATTTCTGTCCTAGAAAAAGAGAGATTGAAAGAAAATAATAATAATTTCTTAAAAACATTTTTTATTATAAAATTGTGGGGTACAGTTAAGGGTTAGGTATACAAATATGCATCGTTCAGGCACCCTGGTTAATAAGGGGTGTCTCCCCATGAAAATAATAATTTTTATTCATTCTTTGTTGTTTTTTTGTTGTTTTTTTGTTTTTTTTTGAGTTGGAGTCTCACTCTGTTGCCCAGACTGGAGTGCAGTGGCTGCTCCCGGCCACCACAGCCTCGACTTGCTGGGCTCCGGCGATCCTTCCGCCTCAGCCTTCCGAGTAGCTGAAACTACAGGTGCGCGCTACCACACCCGGCTAATTTTTAAATTTATTGTAGAGATGAGGTCTCACCAAGTTGCCCAGGCGGGTCTCGAACCTGCGGGCTCAGGCAGTCCACTCACCTCGGCCTCCTAAAGTGTTGGGATTACAGGCTGAGCCACCGAGCCCAGCCTTTTATTCATTCTTTGTAAGCACCGTGATTTGTGTTACGGTCTATACCTGTTGGGCGCTATATGTCTTGCTAAGTCTTAGAATTGTATTTATTACTGCCATCCTCATTTCCTGTGCTACACTGATTTTTGCATAATACTTTTTATCATGGCCATATCCAAAACCTGGCTTTACAAAGACACGATGTTATTGTAAGGAATGTAGTACAATCTAATGTTGAAACTGAATTGTCTCACTCTAGTAGTTTGCATGGTATCCAACAGATGTCGCTGTGTTTTACTTGAAATTTTAAAACATCCCACAGTGCCCCTGTGAGTTTGCTGCGGTGCCCTGGGACTTCTGTGCACATGACTTGGGAATCTCACTTTTAATGTGTTCAGGAAGAAATGTTAGTAAGACAGAGTATAATTTAACCATATAATGAGATTGGAAAGTCAGGGCCAAATAGTTAAAAGAAAGGAGTTCCCCCCACCAGTATGTTTAGGTAATTCAAGAACTTTCACTAAATGAAATGGCAAGAGCAATTTGGGTTTTATTGGATTCTTTTACTCTTATAGTTATTAAATTGCCAAATTATTAGTTGATGAAAGATACTCACTGTAAGTCTGCATCCTATGCATTATGCTATGAGAGCTCAGATAGACTGATGAAAAGAACAACCTTTGGGCGACAAATGAAGCTTTGATCACAGAAGGTGAAGTAAAGACTGAATTGACCTGTTGCCGGTGATGGCTGAGTAAATAGCCTTAGACAAACACTTGCCAAGCGATGGGGCCATTTCTTACCTACCTCCCTGCCTCTGGAGCTAGCGTGGTAGAATACTATTCATCTTGCCCAGTTACCTGTGAACATTTAAAAGATAGTTTTCTCTGGGTTTTTATATGACTTCTAGCCTCAGATGGAGAGTGTGGGTGTGTGAAACAACAAAGATTAACAATGTTTCTTGAACATCTCTGATCCTTTTTTCTTTCTCACCCTCATATTCCCTCCTCCTTCCTCTTCTTTTTCCATTCCCCTTCTTTCTCCCTTCTTTTACCTTCCTCCTTGTTTCTCTTTCTCTACAAGTTTCTCTTTCTCTTCTTTTGTTTCTCTCTACTTCTCCTTTTTCTTTCTTTCTTTCATTTGTGTCTGTGCCCAGATATACACGTGCATATTCACACATACCTCTGGAGGCAGATATAGTTTTAATCTGTATAAATCTCTCTGATAATTGAGGCTCAGGTCCTGAAGGTTAGATTCTTGGGTGAGAGCTCCTGTGCCTTTCATTTTGAAAGAAAGATGAAAAAAATCCTGCCAAAGATCCAGCTATTTAATCAATTACAGGAAGGTTTGTGACTCCACGAATAACCTCTTTGTTACTTAATGGTATTTAGACGCTTAAGACGCTTTAAAAAGTCTCAACTTCAAGTCTAAGAATCAAATGATTGACCAAAATGTCATAACAAGAAGATAGCTATTAAGCTCAGGCTGAAATAGAGTGTATAGAAACTTGTTAAATGAGTTCTGTGGAAATTTTTAGATTCCTCCAAGGTCCTCTCAGCCGAGCTCAGTGTACTTGGGATTTGAGCCACTTACTCTCCTAAGCACCTTCCCGATTGTTCGTGACCTCTTTGCGTTGCTGTGTTCTTTGTGAGATTTACAGACAGAAGGCACTTGCTGTCTTATTTTTTTGATGCAAGGCCTTTCCTAATCATTGCAACCCTGTGAGCCAGAGCAGCACTCTTGCTTTGCCGAGGAGATACGCCATGCATGCATTTCTTCTTCCTTGCTCCCCGGACAGCATCATCGCCCTTCACTTCTTTAACTTTCCTTTGCAGTTGACTGAAACCTCCTCCCGTTACGCCAGGAAGATCTCCGGCACCACTGCCCTCCAGGAGGCCCTGAAGGAGAAGCAGCAGCACATTGAGCAGCTGCTGGCTGAACGGGATCTGGAGAGGGCGGAGGTGGCCAAGGCCACGAGCCACGTGGGGGAGATAGAGCAAGAGCTAGCTCTGGCCCGGGACGGACATGACCAGGTGAAGTCTGGTGCTGACCTCATTGTGGAGATGGTGATGGTTTCTAAATCTAGTGAGGCTGAGAGGCATGTCCAGTGCTCGGTGCCAAGGAGCTAGTCTTGAGAGCACTGGAATGAGTATACATTTCATTGCTGAGCTTGTTTGAAAGCTGTGACCTGGGATGCCAGTTTCCATCATCATAGAGATGAAGTTTTGTTCTTCTTGATTCTACTGTAGTCTTTGGTCTTTATGTCCAGGTCTTTTGATCTGTGTTAGGCCAGCTGGTTTCTAGGACCTTAAGTTCCTGTTTGTAGATTATTCTTTGTATGTCTTTCAGCTTCGAAAAAGATAAGAGTTGTTTTAACATTGCCCTCTATTGGCTTCAAAAAAAGTTAAGAGTTGTTTTAACATTGCCCTCTATTGCTTTAATGGTATGGTTTCTCATCATCTAGCTTCCAGGAAAGCTGCGGAGAATCACCTATTAAGATAGAAAGCATTTTAATATGACAAGGTTTTAGAGTAATGCCCACCCACCATGGTAACACTTACCCATAGCTCTTTGGAGGTATCCCTGGGCCTGTATCTGGGGTCAGAAAGAGACCACTCACTGACGTACTTGCCTTCCCCAGCATGTCCTGGAATTGGAGGCCAAGATGGACCAACTACGAACAATGGTGGAAGCTGCTGACAGGGAGAAGGTGGAGCTTCTCAACCAACTTGAGGAGGAGAAAAGGTGACCCCAAACTGTTCTGTGGTACAAGTGTGGCTTTTTCCTTTTAAATGCTGTTAGGGTGAAATTTCCTATTAACAACCTTGTGGCTGGGCGTGATGCCTAATGCCTGGAATTCTAGCACTTTGGGAGGCTGATGTGAGAGGACTGCTTGAGTCTAGGAGTTTGAGACCAGCCTAGGCAACATAGCAAGACCTCGTCTCTACAAAAAATCAAAACATCAGCCAGGTTTGTTGGTGCATGCCTATAGTACCAGCTATTTGGGAAGTTAAGGCAGGGGGATTGCCTGAGCCCAGGAGTTTAGGGCTATGGTTAGCCACTGCTTCCACTGTAGCCTGGGTGACAGAGTGAGACCCTGACCCAGAAAAACAAAATAAAAACCAGCCTTGTTGGTATCAACCCATGGAACCAAGGGAATGATAATTTGTCCAGTAGAAACTGAACTCTGATTATTGTGTAATGAGGGTTTGCTTTGATTTGACTTTTTTCCAAGAAGCTTGAAATCATTTATTCATGGCCGGATTAAATTTAACAGATTTTTTTTTTTTTTTTTGAGTTGAAGTCTCACTCTGTTGCCCAGACTGGAGTGCAGTGGCCGCTCCCGGCCACCGCAGCCTCGACCTGCTGGGCTCCGGTGATCCTTCCGCCTCAGCCTTCCGAGTAGCTGGAACTGCAGGCGCGCGCTACCACGCCTGGCTGATTTTTTTTTAATTTATTGTGGAGATGAGGTCTTGCTTGCCCAGGTGGGTCTCGAACCTGTGGGCTCAGGCAGTCCACTCACCTCAGCCTCCCAAAGGCACGGGATTACAGGCTGAGCCACCGAGCCCGGCTAGATTTTTTTTTTTTTTTTTTTTGAGTTGGAATCTCACTCTGTTGCCCAGACTGCAGTGCAGTGGCACACACTCACTGCCACCGCAGCCTCATCTTGCTGGGCTTAGGCAATCCTTCCGCCTCAGCCTTCCAAGTAACTGGAACCACAGGCGTGTACCACCACACTCGGCTAATGTTTTGATTTATTGTAGAGACAAGATGTTGCCAAGTTGCCCAGGCCGATCTCAATCCCCTGGGCTCAGGCAGTCCTCTCACCTCTGCTTCTCAAAGTGCTGGGATTACAGGCGTGAACTATCACGCCCAGCAATTTAATAGATATTTATTGAGCCCTAGTGCTTATGAAACTTCTTGAGGATAGCATCAGTCAGTATTGTGGAAGTCATTCCATCCTAGTTTTTATTTGGAACTCTTCCTGGTAAGAGGATATGTTAGATCCAAGTTACCTAGTATTTATGACATTGTATTATATCTGGTGGGTGATATAAGGTCCCTGTCCTTGAGAAACTCAAAACTTTGTTTGGAAAACAAAATTCTCACATGTGAAACAATTAGAGAATTATTGAAGTTGGTATGAAATCAAATGCTAAATAGTATGAGACAGAGTCCAGTTTAGTTCTTTTTTTTTTTTTTTTTTTGAGTTGGAGTCTCACTCTATCACCAGACTGGAATGCAGTGGCTGCTCCCGGCCACCACAGCCTCGACCTGCTGGTCTCCGGCGATCCTTCCACCTCAGCCTTCCAAGAAGCTGGAACTACAGGCCCGCGCTATCACACCCAGCTAATTTTTTTTCATTTATTGTTGAGATGAGGTCTCGCCTAGTTGCCCAGGCGGGTCTCGAACCCACAGGCTCAGGCAATCCTCTCACCTCAGCTTCCCAAAGCGCGGGATTACAGGCTGAGCCACCGAGCCCGGCCAGTTTAGTTCTTATAAAAAGAACTTTCCTGAGGCCATGAACAAACAAAATCTTTGAAGAAAGGGTCTGCATGGAAATCATTTGAACATCCCTGGGTTTTGGGACATTTGTTGGATTTAATGCCATCTTCTTGGTCATTTCTGATAATAGCGGCTTAATTCCATAACAATCTAGTATTACATGTGATCAGGACATCATAAGCAATGTTATAGTCAGGAGCACAGTAAGGGTACAGTACCATCTCTTACTGAGAAAATTGCTTTCTTGCAGGAGAGATAAACACTATATGTAGGAAGTTCTCCTCACATCTAAAAAATAGTTACAAGTAAACAATCTGTGATAAACCTGTGTAGGCCCTTATGAATGCCATGGCACCGAATTTACTTCTATTCTTAAACCATCTCTTACTCTGCAGATGACTAGACCGTAGAAATGTCCCCATCAGCTGTAAGGTTGGGGCCTTTAACCTATGGTGCTATTTCTCCTTTAACTGAATAGGATTTTATTCTTAATTTTGCTAGAAATGCTGGTGAGTTTGAAGGGTTTTGTTTTGCATGTAGGTTATGAACTTTGTTCACCTTTTCTTCCTTACACCCAATTTTGTAAAGATTCATAATATGAATGTTACCCAAGTTTTGTAAATCTTTAGAATATTATTATATTTCATTGACTTTGTTATGGTATTGATTTAAAACCACACCCAATATCAGATTTTAAAGTGTAAGGAAAATGTGCATTTTAGAATCAAGGGAATAGGATCCTTGGTTGCTTTTCTCCTGCAATCATTCACAGCCCTGTGCTGGGGCAGGTGCTGGTACTGTCCTGGAGCCTGTAAGGTTGAGGGGGGCAGTTCTCTGCATGAGAAGCCTATTAACCTTACCCTAAAAATATCTGATGTGGGGTGATTAAAAAAAGAGCAATTTGTTTTCCGTGCCACTCTTCCCTATGCTCTGTGTTTATAGCCTTGACATCTCCAACATATTCTGTGGTGATCAGACATTTTCTTTTTGCTTATTGTGTCTTGATTAGATCTGTTTTGTTGTTTGTGACCAAAGGAACCAGTGGATTTTTCTCAGCTCTTACCTCATGCCTTCTGGAATCAGAACCTGGGGAAAACTTTGGTGTTTTCTAAATGATTGGAGTACAGATCTTAGATGTGTAAACCAGAGACTCAAAGATGCATTTTTAAATTTTATATGTCTCTAATGCATTTCTTTCCACTAACTGATGAATTCACCAGGATAGTGATTATAGATTTTTTTTTTTTTGGATAAGGCAGATATATGCCTTATTTACTTTCTTCAGTGCTTTGTTTTGGTTTTATTCTACAGGAAGGTTGAGGACCTTCAGTTCCGGGTTGAAGAAGAATCGATTACCAAAGGTGATCTTGAGGTAAAACCCTTCCAGCTCTCTTAAAGCTTTTGTGGGTGCTAGTATTCAGAAATATGGGTGAAATAATGTGCCAGCTGACACATGTGGCCAGAAGAGTCAGTTGAGGGAATGACAGGAGGAACCTCAGTCTCTAGTCATGGGTTCTGGCTGTGGCCTTATGGGGATGATGAGAGTTCTTGACCCTGTGATTGTGTGTCCCACTTCTTGTGGTAGAGTAAAATATTCATTACTCTTTTCTCATGCTTCAAAATTGAAAACCATGAATTGGATGGAATCAAGTCATAAATCTGGCAGCATGTCTTCAATTTAAAGCAGTCTTAAGTGAGATTTTATGTTTCTCTGATTCTTAGAAAAGGCATTTTATTTTAAATATATATCTATTTTTTCAGTCAAAGTCTCACTCTGTCGTCCAGGCTAGAGTGCAGTGGCACTATCATGGCTACCGCAACCTTAACCTGCTGACCTCAGCGATCCTTCTGCCTCAGACTTCCAAGAAGCTGGGACTATACTCGTGTGCCACCATGCCCAGCTAAATTTTTGATTTATTGCAGAGACAAGGTCTCAAACTCTTGGACTCAGGCAGTCCTCTCTCCTTGGCCTCCCAAAGTGCTGGGATTATAGGCATAAATCACCAGCAGAAAAGTCATTTTATATTTCATCACAATAGTTTATAACAAAGCTTTTGACTTTATCTCAGCTTTGCTTTTCAGTTGATCAGGATAAATCCTTTTATAACCCTATAAAAGGAATAAATTTTATATTCTAATAGTTGATTTTTTTTTAATTAAGAAAATTTTTTTGTCGAGATGGGGTCTTGTTATGTTGCCCAGGCTGGTCTTGAACTCCTGGGCTCAAGCAGTCCTCCCACCTTGGCCTCTCAAAGTGCTGGGACTATAGGCGTGAACCACCACACCTGGCCAATAGTTGATTTTTTTAAAAAGACAATTAACAGCCAAAAAAAGAGAGCAATTTGTATTTCAAATTCTTTTGCTTCTATGACATATTTAAAATTATTAGATTTTTTTATAGTGTCAGATTTTTCTTCCCTTCTTTTTTTTTTTTTTTGAGATGGAGTCTCATTCTGTCGCCCAGGCTGGAGTGCAGTGGCACACTCATGGCCACCCCAGTGTCTACCTGCTAGGCTCCGGCAAGCTTTCTGCCTCACCTTCCAAGTAGCCGTAACTACAGGCACGCACTACCTCGCCTGGCTAATTTTTTATTTATTGTAGAGATGGGGTCTTGCCAAGTTGCCCAGGCTGGTCTTGAACCCGCAGGCTCAGGCAATCCACTCGCCTCGGCCTCCCAAAGTGCTGGGATTACAGGCTGAGCCACCGAGCATGGCCTTCATCCCTTCTTAATACATAATTATTAGTATTTATTTATAAATAAATAAATTATTCATATTAGTTTCAAAATTAGATGCCAGAATTAAATGGTTTTGATGGTTTCAAGCCATTGCTAGATATATGACAAATGTAAATTATTAACTTACAAACATTTTCCAGATATTTTGGTTCTTTATAATGTTTTAGTAAAAAATGCACTTATCTGTGCATTCCTGAATATACAGTTTTGCTACCATTACAGTTTTAGAGTATATTGATTGCCCATGCTGTGCTTAAATTTTAAGGGCTCTTTCAAACAGCAGCTCTAATTTCTTTGGAAATACATCTTTACAGTCAAAAAAAGAATAAGGGGAACATTTTCTGAGTTCTAGGTTTATAGGGCCTAGAATTTAATGGTTCATTAACAATTTAATAGATATCTTTTTCATTCATTTCATATATAGTCACATTCCTTTAGTTGATTTTTGTGTTGTTCTCATCCATTTAAAAATACCCCAGAATCTCATTAGAAGTTTCATATCATCATCTAATTCATATGAAATATAGTCTACGGTGTTTTGGGGAGAGTCAAGTTAAAAACTTACACCAGCATTAGGGTAGTGTAGTTTGATAAACTTACTTGAAATTAATTCAATGTTATCGTGAAACCCTAACATATTGAAACTTTAGTTGAATCTCATTTTTTGTTGTTGTTTAATTTTTTTATTTTTTACTGATAGCAAAAGAGCCAGATTTCTGAAGATCCTGAGAATGTAAGAGGGCACTTAACTGTGTGGATATTTCCCTTGTTAACAAAGATTGATTATGAATTAAAATGCTTAATTGATATACTCAAATACTAACTGTATAATCTGACCTTGGGACATTGACCTTAATATTTCTGTGCATGTGGCTTTCAAAGCAATTTTGTTTATATCCCGAAGAAATTGTATGTAATGACTAAGTTGCATAAATTCTTTTGTTTAAAGAATGGGCCAATGTTTGCGTTATAAAGAATTTTGCCAAAAAGGAAAAGAAAATTTTTGTTGGAGGCCTGGCCTTCTGTACCTAATTCATGATGTCTTCTAATGTTAGTACCATTATTCCAAAAGAGATAGCTTACTGAAGCATAAAACATTTTAGATGTGGAGTTTTAGGAATTCTAGGGAAGTTTTCCAGACTGTCTAATTTTACTTCCCACGAGAGAAAAAGGAATTGTGAGATTCCTGGTGCTTGACTGACTGCCTTTTCAGTGTGCCCCCACTGCTGGCAGTGCCTGCCAGTGCTGCTGACAGACGTTCAAACTTTCATTTGTTGCTACAGTATTTTCCCTAGTTTATGAAACTTGAGGCAAGCATTCTTCAGTGCAGACACTGTGTGTTTTCAATGTATTATTATTGAAGTGAGATTTTTCTAGTAGCAGTGCTAGTAGGCATGTAGGTGTTTTCTTTTGCCTCCTCCCTCTGATTAAGATCAAACACCCATTACAAATATTATCAAAGTAGCCACTAGAGCATTGCTTCTTGGTGCACCCTGCCAGCTGTGATGCCAATTGAAAAGAACCTGAAAACTTTTAAACTTGATTTACTGCCATAAGAGAATGAAATTAAAACAAAGAACTATTTTTCTTCCTACCACCTCCTGGCAGCTGAAATAGGCAACTGAAGACTGAACTTTTTAAAAGATCTTCGTTCTGAAGGGTTCCTTTTTGTGCAGCTACTTCAGTGATCTGGGTCTCTTCTCTCCTGCCAAAACAGGCTCCCGCTGCATCTGGTGTCAGTCTGCATGGGATTTCCCTCCTGCCTCTTTTGTGCGCTTCTTGCAAAGCCTTTGCTTTCCTTCTCAATTCCCTGTCCCAGACATTCCTCTAGGGATCCTCGGTGTCTTAGTCTAAGAAAGGAGTAAGTTTAAAAAGAGAGTTGTCTTGTTTAGTGTCATGTTTTTATTACATGCTGTGGCCTGGACGTGGATCACCAGTTCCCTTCATCTGATGCCACTGTGGAGTACCAGATAACATGTGTATCTTATCAGTAACTAGATGTTGGCTATGCTTATCTGGGAGATCTCTGAATGGGGAGAAGATCACATTAAATGTATATTTGCTTTTTATCTGGAAATAATGACCTTTCACCCAGAGAACACTTAACTCAATGTTAGGAGAAGAAAGGCTTTGTTGCTTTTTCTTTTTCCTATTACTGTAGTTTTGGATTTCACTTCCTGAGGCTGTGACCCCAATTATGGATTAGATTCTTTTTCTTGCAAAAGCAGGTAAACTGAACAACTTCTGTCTAAGGCACATATGGACCAAGGGGACTATCCAGACAATTAGGTTTTGAATTTTATTTCATAATTTTTGTGGAGTATAAAGAGCTGAAGCATTAAAAAATTTGTTGTTCACCTTTGAAATATCCCATGATGGTTTGTCTATACCTGGTTCACAAGCAAAGTGACCGCTTGAGTGCTTCTAAATCCCACAAGTGGAGATGTTTAAACCTTTAGTTTTACATTCCACCTTCTACTTAAGCTCTGTACTACTTTGCACTTTGTTTAGAGTCTGTTGTCATGTTTTCATTGCCCATAAATGTCCCACCTGATAGGGCAGTTAGAACCACAAAACATTTAAATTAATGCAAGTAACTAGCAGCTGCTGAGAGCAGTGCTGTCAATAGCTTTGGTCGGTTGATTACTCTGATAACTGATAACCTCTTGGGTAGGACAGATGGATGGGAGAAGAGGTACTTTGGACCTGGATTATTTCAAATTGATTTAATAGTCTGCACTGTTTCTAAATCTGTTAGAGAGTGGTTACCCTTGGATTTCCCATCAGATTATATCTTAGTTCGTGGTGATGGGGAATACAGGGTATCTTTTTTTTTTTTTTTGAGTTGAAGTCTCACTCTGTCACACAGGCTGGAGTGCAGTGGCATACTCATGGCCACCACGGCCTCAACCTGCTGGGCTCAAGTGATCCTTCTGCTTCAGCCTTCTAAGTAGCTGGAACCACCATGCTGGGCTAATTTTTTAAATTTTTTTTTTGTAGAACCCATGGGCTCAGGCAGTCCTCTTGCCTCTGCCTCCCAAAGTACTGGGATCACAGGCGTGAGCCACTGCGCCCAACCAGTGCAGGGTATCTGTGAGATCTTTGAGGTTCTGAATCACTTTAGGATCCCACCAGTTCAAACTCATGCCTTTGTGTTGAGTCACCATTTCTTACCCTTCTTACCTCTGAGCTGATAAAAATGGCCTCATCTTAGAATTTAAAAAAAACCCTTACCAGTTTGAGCTACATCCTCCTCCTGCTCTGAGCCTCTTAATTGGCCAGCTTCAGAGATGGAGGCTGTGGTGGATAATTATTACTGAGCTTTCTCTTTGTATTTCTATTTCCTTTTCCCCCCACTGGAAAAATCTACTGTTGGTAAATTCATTTTGGAAAATCCACTGTTGGAAGGAAATTCAAGCTTTCATGGCTCCTTATCTGTCATATATAGGAACGTTGCCAAGAATCTCACTCAAACCCCTCTTACCCATTTCAGCAAAGGCCACTGATGTGGTTTCCTTCGCTCTAGTTTCTAGATTCCCTTTATTGGGGTTATTACTTGATCCTTGTTCATGTCAAAGTATATGCCAGAGTGCAAGGATCTGCTCTGAGGATTTATTGAACAGTTTAAGATTTATGACATTATCTTTTCTCTTTTTAAGTGACAGTGAACGATTATTCTGAGGGTCAATCTACTTTTTAAAGGCATTGAGTCAGTTACATACACATTAATGTCAAAAAGCTATTGTGGGGAGGAGGGAAAATGATAGTTTAGAGGAATATTAACTGTTCTAATTTGTGCTGATAAACTTCACTTATCAATATAACTTGTATTTGGCTGCATGCATCTGATACTTCATCTTGCCTCATGTGTTTTCCATTTTTTCTTTATGAACAGACTAGCTCATGTCCCCTGCCCACCGCCATCCTTTTGTCCATAGTATTCATCCTCACTCCCAACCTCCTCATCTCAGTTCCATCCTCTTCCCCTTCTTCATTGCCCTTTTTGTTCATTCTTTGGCAGAAGGTACTTGGTGGCTCAGCCTGCATGCCGCTCTCTCTCCTCTTGTGCTGGCATGTCATGGTGGCACTGTTGTGTTCTCTTCCTCTTCCTTTTTACTAACAGACGCAGACCAAACTGGAGCATGCCCGCATTAAGGAGCTTGAACAGAGCCTGCTCTTTGAAAAGACCAAAGCTGACAAACTCCAGAGGGAGTTAGAAGACACTAGGGTAATGGTTTTCACTATTTAATGAAGCCGACTCATGCGTGTGAGTGGTGGACACCTCGGGTGACATGCCTTATAGTTGGCCTGAGCCTTGACCCAGTGGTTCAACCTGAGTTTGGTCTTGGTACTGTTCAGGTGTTTATGAATTAGACTAAGAAGTAGACATAGGTATTTTATATCAACTATTTTGTCCAAAGTAAAGACTTGCCGGGTGTGGCGGCTCACGTCTGTAATCCCAGCATTTTGGGAGGTGAAGGCAAGAGGATTGCCTGAGTCCAGGGATTGGAGACCAGCCTGGGCAACTTAGTGAGATCTTGTCTCTACAATTAATCAAAAAATTAGCCGGACGTGGTGGCGTGTGTCTGTAGTTCCAGCTGCTTGGAAGGCAGAGGTGAAAGGATCTCCAGAGCACCCAGGGTCAAGTCTGCAGTGGTGGTGAGCGTGCCACTGCACTCTAGTCTGGGCAACAGAGTGAGACTCCAAGTCAAAACAAAAAAAAAAGTAAAGACTCATTCTTTTGGTTAACTCAACCCAAATCAAAATCAGAAACTTTACAACTGTATAAACTAATGGATATAACTGTATTTGAGGTTCTTTGAATTAATACCTTGAAATACATTTCTCCAGTTGGCCACAAGCAGTCAATTGTCCTCTTGTTCTCATATTCCTAGCTATTAGGTTTTCTAAATAATTTTTGGTTATTGTTGTTTGACTGTAGCTCTCTTTTCCTGCCTTCTTCCTTGGCCTCATTGGGGAAAGAAATGGAAGCGGTGACTCTTTTTAATGAGAGTTAATGACTTTCACCCCAATTATCTTTTTTTCTTGATAACTGATTTTTCTTTGCGACTCCCTTCTTTCTCTCACTAGGAGATTAAGATCTCAGTGATCATGAGGGAAATGCATGTTGGGAATAGAAAGATTCTTACTACTCCCAGCTAAACTGTATTTGGCTCTTAGAGCCAGTGCATTAGTCATATTTAAGCTTATTTATATATTAAAGTACTTATATAGTGCTTACTTCATGTCTGGCACTATTCTAAGTGCTTTATAAGTAGTCAGTCTCATCACAACCTTAGGAAGTAGGGAGTATTATTATACCTTGTATTTTACAGACAAGAACACTGAGGCACAGAAGGTTAAGTAATGTCCCTAAGATAAAATAGTAATATTTATCTCATAATCATGGAGACGGGATTTGCATCTTGGCCATTTGACTCCAGAGTCTGTGCTCTTAATCACCATGAGATGGAGTCTGTCCATTATGGAAGTTGTTTTGCACTTAAAGATTTAAGAAATAATCATTTACATTTAAAACTTATATTCATGTATCCCTTTAAATCATTAATTTATCAGTGATTAAATTGCCCAGATTCTTAACTTAAAATTAAAAAAAAAAATTATTCTGTCTCTGATCAAATTTAATAGCCTCATTTTCTTCAATTCTTAGTATTTGTAGAGATTTCTCTTGGTGAGAAATCATTGATCTAAAAATCTAGACAATTGAGTAATTTTTCTTCTCTAATCATAAATTTTTATTTTTTAAGAAGAAAGAAAAAAATATTTTGTGTATATGATAAGAAAAAAAAGTGCTAATTCGATCCTGTTTCCTCATTACCTGAGAGCCAAATAATTGATCTGGGAAATACAAGGGGCTAATGAGATTGAGCTCTTTTAGTGTAACTGGCTATTGAAATAAAAGGATATCATTTATTATTTGTGAACTCCTCTCCCATATCTTAGTTTTGTCAGCAAACAACTTCGGTGTTTTCTTTTTTTCTGGATAGGAAGGCATCCATTTATCCAAGTATTTCAGATTAAAGCTTTTATCTTTCCATAATGAAGTATGTCTTCTATTAACCCTCACTCTTGGTACCCCAAATGTTAAAATAACCAATGACCCATGTAAGGTTCATATCACCTTTGTATGTTACCTTTTAGGAAGGACTATAAAATTCCTTGTAGCCAATAAACTCGGTTTACAAACTGTGCCTGATCTATAGAGATATTAGTGAGAATTAGCCGGGTGCAGTGGCGCACGCCTGTAATCCCACCACTTTGGGAGGCAGAGACAAGAGGAATGCCTGAGCCTACAGGTTTGAAACCTGGGCAACTTGGTGAGACCTCATGTCTACAATAAATAAAAAAATTAGCTGAATGTGGTGGGGCGTGCCTGTGGTTCCAGCTACTTGGAAGGCTGAGGTGGAAGGATCATCTGAGCTCAGCAGGTGGAGGCTGCAGTGGCTGTGAGTGTGCCATTGCACTCTAACCTGGGCGACAGTGAGACTCCTACTAAAAAAAAGAAAGAAATGATTCCTGAATTAATTTATAATCTCAAACTAGTGGGAGAGGCAGATATAGGTAGTCTCAACTGAGGGCAGATATTGGAAAATAAAAAAAAAGTGCTAGTCTTTATATGAAAATGCCATGTAGCTGGGCGTGGTGGCTCATGCCTGTAATCCCAGCACTTTGGGAGGTGGAGGCAACAGGATTGCCTGAGTCCAGGGGTTAGAGACCATCCTGGGCAACTTGGCGAGACCTCATCTCTACAATAAATTAAAAAACTGGGTGTGGTGGTGTGTGCCTGTAGTTCTAGCTACTTGGAAGGCTGAGGCAGAAGGATCGCCTGAGCCCAGCAGGTCAAGGGTGCGGTGGCCCATGAGCGTGTTACTGCACTCCAGCCTGGGTGACAGAGTACTAAAAAAAAAAAAAGCCATATAAAGTATAATCACATTATTTATTATTTTTGCTTAATTTTACTTGGCATTTTCTCATTTGAACTATTTTGTTACAACTAAGAACTATTGCCCTTTTGGATTTAGTTTATTTGTGCATAGATCTTGCAGCAATGGGATTATTAATATTTTGTACCTTATTTTGAGGTAACAAAGACTCTGCCCTCCCCTGAACATCATATGTAATTGAATTAACATCTTCAGTCCGATGACTCAATTACAGTCATCTCTGAAATATTTAATGATTTGATTATGCAGTCTTGGAGACTCGAGTGCTTTTTTTCCTGTTCCCTTGTGGACATTTTAGTCTTTATTTGTGTCACAGCCTGTAGGTGGGCAGAGGAAGTAAAAGAGGCACATTTGTTATTTTCTGTCTCAATAAAGGCAGTCCGGGAGAGGAGTTTTAAATTCAGGGGAGTGTTGATGTTTGAAATGTGGTACTCCTGTTTTTAAATTATTTGTGTTCCCTTCTATTTCCCAGATTAGTCAAATAATTTTTATGCTGGAAGCTACCATTTTCCACATGTTCTGGGTACTAAACTGACTGCCTAACAGATAGCAAAGGATAATGACTTTTTAAGAATGAAAGGACACATTTTAAGAAAGTGTTTTCCTAGCCCTGGGGTGCTTACTTTAAAAGAGCAGATTCTTGAGTTCTACCCCAGAGCTCAAATAAAATAAGAATATATAGGACTAGCCAGAAATTTGGATTTTGGATATACATGTGCATGCCAATGTCTGAGAACCACTGGGTTAGGGGAATTATGTTTACATCAAAATGCTGATAGAATTGTAGAATCCAAAAGAAGGACTGTGTAAGATTCTTATGCATAATTGCAGGTAAGTAAGCATTCCTACTTTGTCTTTTAAAAGGATTAATGAATTCTTTATTATCCAGTTGACATTTTTATTCTACAGGTGATGTTATTCATTGAAATATTTGATAGGCAATTTTAGAACTTTTATGCCAGTGCTATCCAATATAAATATTATGCAAACCACATTATAATTTTCTGGTACTAGCAAGCATTATTTATTTCTTTTTAAATGACAGGTGAAATTAGTTTTAATATTATATTTTATTTAAACTCTTGTATCAAAAATATCATTTCATCATATAATCAATATAAAAACTTAACAAGATATTTTGTGTTCTTTCTTTTGAAGTCTTCAAAATCTGATGTTTTTTTCTTCTTTTTGAATCAGAGTCTCACTTTGTTGCCCAGGCTGGAGTGCAGTGGCATGCTGCTCACAGCCACTGCAGCCTCTACCTGCTGGGTTTGGGTGATCCTTCTACCTCAGCCTTCCAAGTAGCTGGAACTACAGGCATGTGTCATCATGCCCAGCTAATTTTTTGATGTATTGTGGAGATGAGGTCTTGTTGCCCAGGCTGGTCTCGAACTTGCAGGTTCAGGCAATCCTCTCGCCTCACCTCCCAAAGTGCTGGGATCATAAGCATGAGCCACAACATCCTGCTGATGTGTATTTTACACTTATAGCACATCTATAAGATGAGCCATATTTCAAGTGCTCAGTAGCCACATGTGGCTAACGCTACTGTATTGGATAGCATATCTCCGTAGGGTCACCTCCATCAGATGGATAAGCATTTATGCAGCCTGGATGAAGTGGGGTAGAAAAAACTGGCAAAATAAGGAGGATTTTATTTCTTTCAGGAGGCAGATATATCTGGAAACTTTGAAAGTTACTGTTTCTGTTAACTTATTGTCAGTAAACAGTTACTTCTCTGGTTTAAGTTTCTTTAGAGGAAAAAGAAATATTTTTGGAGTGAGTTAAACTTAACATTAGACACTAGATTCCTTTAGTGTCTCCAAATGGTGGGAGTTTGCTGAAGTTTATACTTTTGAATTGGAGCTACCAAAATCGGGCTTAAGCCGTTAACATAGTTAGAGATATATTAACCTGTGAGTATTCATAATAGCTTTACTGCTGCCTAAGATAGGGTGTTTATTAAATATCTTCAGGGTTGAAGAAAATTATTAGTGATTTGTTATTTAAACCTCTGTTTCTTTGGACTGTATTACTAGGTGGCTACAGTTTCAGAAAAGTCTCGTATAATGGAACTAGAGAAAGACCTAGCATTGAGAGTACAGGAAGTAGCTGAGCTCCGAAGAAGGCTAGAGTCCAATAAACCTGCTGGGGATGTGGATGTGTCACTTTCCCTTTTGCAAGAGATAAGCTCTTTGCAAGAAAAGTTAGAAGTCGCTCACACTGACCACCAGAGAGAAATAACTTCTCTGAAGGAGCGTTTTGGAGCCCAGGAAGAGACTCATCAGAAGGAGCTAAAGGCACTTTTTACTGCCACAGAGAAACTTTCCAAAGAGAACGAGTCACTGAAAAGCAAGCTTGATCATGCCAACAAAGAGAACTCAGATGTGATAGCTCTGTGGAAGTCCAAACTGGAGACTGCCATTGCATCCCACCAACAGGCAATGGAAGAGCTGAAGGTGTCCTTTAGCAAAGGGGTTGGATCAGAGACAGCAGAATTTGCTCAGTTAAAAACACAAATAGAGAAAATGAGACTAGATTACCAGCACGAAATCGAAAATTTACAGAATCAACAAGAGACAGAACGGTCTGCTCATGCAAAAGAGCTGGAAGCCTTGAGGGCTAAACTGATGAATATCATTAAAGAAAAGGAGAACAGTCTGGAAGCCATCAAATCAAAACTGGACAAAGCAGAAGACCAGCATCTAGTAGAAATGGAAGACACGCTAAACAAATTACAGGAAGCTGAAATAAAGGTAAAGGAGTTAGAGGTACTGCAAGCCAAATGCAATGAACAAACCAAGGTTATTGATAGTTTCACATCACAGCTCAAGGCTACTGAAGAAAAGCTCTTGGATCTTGATGTGCTTCGGAAAGCCAGTTCCGAAGGTAAATTGGAAATCAAGAAACTTAGACAGCAGCTTGAGGTAGCTGAGAAACAGATTAAAAATTTAGAGATTGAAAAGAATGCTGAAAGTGGCAAGGTTTGTATTGACATTCTTCATCTTTTTCTATTCCATTTGTTGTTATTATTTTGCATCATACATTATTTTTTAGTTGAAGTAATTCATCTTACAAATTCCTGATTTAATTAAAACACATTGCTTGGTGCTCCCTGTTGAGTATAATCTCGTATCTTCTGATTATCTTGAATATGGTTTCATCTGAAGAGATTAGAGAAAATAATGGCTCAAGCATTTGAAATTATGTTCCTTGCCTATTTTCTGATTATCTTATCTCTGGGCTATGCTGTTGTGTCTTGTTTAAGCTTAGTTCTGGTTCATAATCTCTATTTACAGTAGAGAACTCCCTGAGATTATGGTGTTAAGGTATATAAATAAATGAATAAGATAGGAGCTTAAAACATTATCTCCTCCTTTGCCAAATATGTGGTCATGTGCCACATGACAACATTTCAGTCAATGTCAGACTACATATATAATGGTGGTCCCATAAAACTAATACTGTATTTTTATTTGTACCCTTTCCCTCTTTAGATATGTTTAGATAAACAAATACTTGCCCCGCTGTTACAGTAGCCTACAATATTTAGTGCAGTCACATGCTACATGAATTTGCAGCCAAGGAGCAATAGGCTGGACCATATAGCCTAGGTGTGCAGTAGGTATGCCATCTAGGTTTATGTACTTGCACTCTATGATGTTCACATGACAAAATAGCTATGTGACACATCTCTCAGATTGTATCTTGGTCCTTAAGCAATGCATGACTAATTACCTTATCTATAGGGTTGTGCATGAAAATGTGGACTTTGAGTGCTTCTTGAGTATTGTAAATTAACATGCTGTGAAAATAATACTCACAGCAAAATTAAGGTTAAGAGCCTGGAGCCCTTTGCATTGCCACTCTTGTTTCATTAGAGTTTTCTTCTTTTTTAATTTGAGTTGGACTCTCACTCTGTCACCTAGGCTAGAGTACAGTGGCACAGTCATAGCCATTGCAGCCTCGACCTGCTGGGCTCAGGTGATCCTTCCCCCTCAGTCTTCCAAGTAGCTGGAACTACAGGTGTGTGTCACCACACCTGGCTGGTTTTTTAATTTATTGTAGAGATGGGATCTTGTTGTGTTGCCCAGTCTGGTCTCAGAGTCTTGGGCTCAGGTAATCCTCTCATGTCTGCCTCCCAAAGTGCTAGGATTACATGTGTGAGTCACCATACCCAGCCTCGTTGGAGTTTTTTCTATGACACAATGAGAACATGATCTATTCTTCTGCCTTTCTGAGGAAATACTGAACAAGTGTGCATTTGGTCAAGCTGTAGGAAATTATATGAAACGTTCCCTAGCTTCATTTTCTACTAACTAGCCTTATTAAATGTCATCTCCATTTTTAAGGATTGTCCAAGGAATTCTTTCCCAGTCCTGCCACTAGTTGAGGCACTGGCTTTGATGCTGAATGTTCTAAGCTTTTTAAGGGAGAAACTGATGTGCTGGCAAAGAAGGAAAGGCTGTGTTGGTTAACTGGGAGAGGTGAGAACAGACAAACAGCAAAGCATTGCTAAGCAACCATAGGTGAAGATGACAAACTGCTGATTATAGGAAATTCTTATTAAATCTCCTCATGTAGTTCCGAGATTAAAACACAAAAGTAAATTAGAAGATAATATGAAACTAATCTTAGTTTACTTTTTACATCAAGTTTTTGGGGTTTTTTTGAGTTGGAGTTTCACTCTGTCACCTAGGCTGGAGTTCAGTGGCACACTCACAGCCACCCCAGCATCAACCTGCAGGCTCCAGCGATCCTTCTGCTTCAACCTTCCAAGCAGCTGGAACTACAGGCACTCGCTACCACGCCTGGCTAATTTTTGATTTTTTATAGAGACAAGGTCTTGCCAAGTTGCCTGGGCTGGTCTCGAACCTGCGGGCTCAGGCAGTCCACTCACCTCGGCCTCCCAAAGTGCTGGAATTATAGGCTGAGCTACCGAGCCCAGGCTACATCAAGATTTTTTGAAAGCCAGATTCTGATACCTGTTGTCCAGTGGATTTTATGATTTTATTTTTACTTAAATATTGAAATACTTAGCGCATATACAAGAATATAGAAAATAATGTAGACCACATGTACCCACTATCCCTATTTTAAGTTTGGTTTTTTTTTTTTTTTTTTTGGGTCAGAGTTTCACTCTGTTGCTCAGGCTGGAGTGCAGTGGCATGCTCATAGCCACCCCAGCGTCGACCTGCTGGGCTCCAGCAATCCTTCTGCCTCAGCCTTCCAAGTAGCCAGAACTACAGAACTGTGCTCCTCTATGCCCAGCTAATTTTTTTGATTTATTGTAGAGATGAGGCCTCGCCAAGTTGCCCACACTGGTCTTGAACCCCTCGGCTCAGGCAGTTCTCTCACCTTGGTCTCCCAAAGTGCTGGGATTATAGGCTTGAGCCACCATACCCGGCCTGTTTTACATTTTTTAAAGTCTAGAAGATGAAATTGCTCAAGTAGCTAACTCATTTAGAAAGTAAACATCTGTACTTTCTGCTTTAGATCATGTTGATATTCCAAATTAAATTGAAGTATAGAAAAATAGTCTATCTTGACTATTTAAAAATAGCCATTAGGCAGTCATATCTAGAACTGATTGTTCAAAGTCATTAGCATCTGAGAATTTTTTTTAAAAACCGACTTTTTATTCTTTTTAGTTTTGTTATGTTTGTTTCTCATAAATTTTTACATTTTTTCCCTTCTCATTCTGTTTTGTTTTCTTTGTGTTCATTTGCTTCTACACCATGTAACTGTGTGTGTTAGGCTAGTAGCATTACCAAAGAGCTCCAGGGGAAAGAGCTCAAGCTTACTAACCTTCAGGAAAATTTGAGTGAAGTCAGTCAAGTGAAAGAGGCTTTGGAAAAAGAACTTCAAATTTTGGTAAGTACCTGTTGGAAGCGTGTCCCAGGGTTTCTGGCCATTTCCTATTTTAAAAAATTCCTCATAAAGAATGAAATACTACAGCTCCTTCAATGTGTTGATTTAACTTGAGTGTATTAGTTATTGACTGACAAATACTGTATCATGGGAGGAATTGAATCAAACCCAAACAAACAATAAAGGTATGTGTTCCTGTTTGTTTTTTTTTAAATCTATTATTTTGCCTCTGGTAGTATACTGCTTTGGAATGTTATTGACTAGTTTTACTAAACACAGAGACTTCTGAGTTACACATCCAACACATTTAGGTTTCATATTTAATGAGGTTGAACTGTGCCTTCTCCTGCCTGCTTTGTGACTATGCAGGGTAGCAAACCATCAAGCCATCCTGGGACATTGGCACCCTCTGTTGGCAAGGTAGGGTACTGTCTAATTCAACAAATTCAGAGATCATTTTATTCCACCTCAGGAAATTACTTTTCCTTTCATAATATTATTCTCTTTTCTTTTTATTTTTTTTGAGTCGGAGTCTCACTCTGTCGCCCAGGCTGGAGTGCATTGGCACACTCATGGCCATCACAGCTTCGACCTACTGGGCTCAGGTGATCCTCCCAAGTAGCTGGAACTATAGGCGTACATCACCATGCTAGGCTAATTTTTTGATTTATTGTATTTTTAAAAAGTCACCCTGTCACCCAGACTGGAGGGCAGTGGCACAATCCCAGCCACTGCAGCCTCGACATGCTGGGCTCAGGCGATCCTTCCACCTCAGCCTTCCAAGTAGCTGGAACCACAGGCATGCGCCACCATGCCTGGCTAATTTTTAAAAAAATTTATTGTAGAGATAAAGTCTCGCCAAGTTGCCCAGGCTGGTCTCAAACCTGTGGGCTCAGGCAATCCTCTCACCTCTGCCTCCCAAAGTGCTGGGATTATAGGCGTACGCTACCACACCTGGCCTTATTCTCTTTTCTTAATCCCAAATTGTATGACATTTTTTTTTCTTACCGTTTCTCAACTTTTTTCCTTCCTACCTGTTTCCTGCACCCAAAACCCAACCTTAAGCTGATAATCATAAATAGTGCCACTGCCAGTGGTACCTTCACATTGTGGAAAAGGAAATTCATAGGCTTATAAAGAAACTAGATAAGTCAGTTGTCCCAGCTTCTCCACACACTTTCCTGTTCCCCATTTATTATACTTTTGTGCTAATAACAGTGACAAATAAAAGCGTGTGATTTCTTTTCTTATCTAAATGCCAATAATACAGTTTTCTAGTTTTTTAAATGGTAAATTATAGGTGCACTGTTTGATATGGTATCTACTATCCATATATGGCTATATAAATTTAAATTTAAATAAATTAACATATCAAATAAATTTTGAAATTCAGTTCCTCAATTACACTAGCTACTTTTTTTTTTTTTCCTGAGTTGGAGTCTTACTCTCACCCAAGCTAGAGTGCAGTGGCACACTCACGGCTACCCCAGCGTTGACCTGCTGGGGTCTGGCGATCCTTCTGCCTCAACCTTCCCAGTAGTTGGAACTATAGGCACATGCTACCACGCCCAGCTAATTTTAAAAAATTTTTGTAGACACAAGGTCTTGCCAAGGTGCCTGGGCTGGTCTCGAACCCGTGGGCTCAGACAATCCACTCACCTCGGCCTCCTAAAGTGCTGGGATTGCAGTCTGAGACACTGAACCCAGCCACACTAGCTACATTTTTAAATGCTCAGTAGCTACATGTGGTTAGTGGCCACAGTATAGTGGATAACATTCCCATCATTGTAGAAAGCTCTGTTGGACAGTTGTGGCCCATATGTTTTAGCTACATTTTGAGAAAAAGTTGTCCTGGGAATCACCATTTTGTGACTTAGTGTTCTTTAAGAAAATGTTTTAAGTTTTCCATCATTTCTCTACCCTCCTCCCTGAACTTTTAGGAAGCCTTGCTTTTTTTTCTTAAGAGTATTTCTTCATGTCCTCTTAGGAGAAGGTGCATCACTGTAAGTCTGGCCTTGGGACAGCACAGGGGGCAGCCTGTGGACTTCGACAGACTTGGGGCCCATGTGCCTATCTTTTCATAATTCTAGTTAGAAATGCTTACTTAAAATTCTCTTGCTTAAAATTCTCAAGCTAGCTCAAAGTTTGTTTCAGGGTAACCAGGAGAGTGATTTTTAATTTGGCCTATTGTCATGTTTAGAAAAGAAGACCTTGAACAGCAGGTGACTTTTTTATTTAAAAAGTGGCAGACACAGACCTAGATTCAAGATATTAGACTCAGTTTACTTTCACAAATAAAAAATTTCAGAACTCTGTTGACTCTTTTTTGAGGGGTAGCAACATGAGAATGCATATACATGGGCCACATGTATACATGCACATGAATATGTGTATGTTAAATATGAACATTCATATATGTACATACAGCTATATATAAATACCCAGGTATATACACGCATATATGCAAATCACATTTATTTGTGAATATATGTGCACATGTGTACAATGCAACATGGTAACAAGTTGTGCCTACATGTTTTGAATGTATGCTAGTTTTAATGAAATAAGACTCACAACAAAAAGCACATAGTATTGTAGTTATAATTGATAGAAACTTTATTTTATTGTTTGAAATCTTACTATTCTAAATATTCAATTTTTTTTCTTTAGAAAGAAAAGTTTGCCAATGCTGCAGAGGAGGCAGTCTCTGTTGAGAGAAGTATGCAAGGTATGTCTTACTAAAGTATGAGCAGATTGCTTTAGAGAATGTCGTACTCTCAGACTGGAGCTAGCCTCTTCAGTACACAGGACAGATGCTGCCTGTAGTCTGGTTTCACTATTCTGGGAGTTCCCACAGCACCTGGGAATACTGGCTTCCATTGGCTTCCTGAAGCCTCAAACTGCCAATAAATTCTTTCTTCTTTCAACTTAAGACTTGTTCCATATTAAAATGTAAGTATCCCTGGGAACAGCATTATCTTATTTAAGCTTTTATCATTGATGGCTTCATTGAGTTTTAATTGGAAGGAGGAAAGAGGTGAGTGGAAAAGGCATGCCTGGTGAGGCAGAAAAGAGTTATGTTCCTGCTTCTTTAGGGTCATACACAGTGGCGTGATTTATAATGGGACTTTTTAAGTATTCCTGTGTTCTCAAATCTCACAAGCATATGATTTTATTGGGTTGGAAGATAGCCAAACTCTAGGTGGCTTATTAAATATGAAACATATTAAACTTTTAACTTTATCCTAAATAGAAACAGTAAATAAATTACACCAAAAGGAGGAACAGTTTAACATGCTGTCTTCTGAACTGGAGAAGCTGAGAGAAAATTTAGCAGGTAAGAAGATGTCTCTGGCAACTAAACATTAAATACAGTAGGCTTCCCAGGATTTGAGATCACTGTAATATGTTACATAACATATCTACTATTTAGGCATAACCTCTTCACTCATTTTGGTGATATGACGTGATGAAATACTTGTCTGAGATTTGTAACCTTTAGCAGGTCCTCTTTGCTCTGTTTTCAAAAGAGTCTGAATCCATCACATCTCACCACTCCCACTGCTATCCTTGCTTCAAGCCAACGACGATCTTTCATCCGAACTACTGTGACAGCTGACCACCTGGGCTCACTGCTTCTGCCCTTGCCCGCTTCAGTCTGTTCTCAACACAGCAGCCAGAGTGATCATTGTAACATGAAGTCAGCTCATGTCGCTTCTCTGCTCAAGATTGTCCAGTGGCTCCCATCCCACTCAGTGAAAACTGTGGTCCTCCCCATGATCAGGCCCTGTCACTGCTCGGATCTCATCTTGGATCACCTTCCCCTTGTTCATTCCACTCCAGCCATATTGGCCTCCTTGCTGGATACTTGGACATGTCAGGCATGTTCCTGCCTCAGAATCTTTGCACTTGCTTTTTCCTTTTCCCTCACTTCCTACAGGTTTTTATGTCAATGTCATGATCTCAGAGAGGCTCCTTCTAAGATTTTAACCTCCCTCCTACTCCTTTCCCTGCTTTTATTTTCTTTTTTCTTAGCACTATTTACTATGCTGTTTCTTTTATCTTGTTTTTTGTCTGCCTTCTCTGCTAGAATGTGATTTTCGTGAGAACAGGGATTGCTGTATGCAAATATTACCTGAGCAAGGATGCACTCAATAAACCTTTGTTGATTATAACACAGCAGTGCTATTCTTTTTCTCTATATATTTAGATATGGAGGCAAAATTTAGAGAGAAGGATGAAAGAGAAGAGCAGTTGATAAAGGCGAAGGAAAAACTGGAAAATGATATTGCAGAAATAATGAGGATGTCAGGAGATAATTCTTCTCAGCTGACAAAAATGAATGATGAATTACGTCTGAAAGAAAGGTATGTATGATGTGTTAATAAGAGTTCTTACTTTAGGTTAGGCTCTGCCGTAAGGGCTAGATGGGAGCGGAGACAAAATGTTCAAGATTAGCCGGGCTCAGTGACTCAGCCTGTAATCCTGCGCCTTTGGGAGGCTGAGGTGAGTGGATTGCCTGAGCCCGTGGGTTCGAGACCCGCCTGGGCAACTTGGTGAGACCTCATCTCTACAATAAAAC